ATGAAGCCCAGGTTTCTTAGGATAATATACAAGGCCAAGTCTCTTATAGCTCAGTTCCTCTTTGCTTTTTTAAGCCTTATGTTTCACACTGCTCTCCTGTCAGCAAAATGGCAAAGGTCTTAGTGGAGGTTCCATCTCCTCTTACTGGCTTAGATTTGCTGCTGCTCAGGTACAAAGTTGGGTTTAGTACAGCAGCAAGATCATATAGTAACTGGTCCAAGGCATGACCCCAGTGACACCTCCTGCACCCTGAATTGCTAATTGTTCATTGTATTAGTCAGTGTTTCCGTTCTTGGGACACAATACCCAACACCCACAATTTAAAAGAGTCAGGGTTTGATTTGGTTAACCTTTTAAGGGGGTTCAGTCCATGGTCAGCTGGCTCCATGGTAGGAACATCATGGCAGAGGGCATGGCGGAGCAAAGCTGCTTAGTTCGTTGTGGCTGAGAAGCAGAGCAAGGGAATGCAGCCAGAGAGGGACAGGTAATAGAATATATAGAGAACTCCAGGCCATGCCTCCCTGGCCCACCCAGACACACCCAGAAGTGTGCTACCCCAATCCCTCGGGCAGATCACAAATCCAATCAAGTTGACATTCTACCCTAACACCACATCTTCTACATCTGAACTAACAAAAATGTATGAAAAGTTGACCAGTTCCATATTCATCTTGGACTGACAGACTCTGTAGAAGTATTTTCTGGTTTTTATTTATGAAATTATTATATCAGTCAATTCAACTTCTAAAACAACATCTTTATTAAGATGAAAAACTAACCAATTTAAAGTATGCAATTCAGATTTTTTAGTGTATTCACGGAGTTGTGTAACAATCACCACAATCTTAATTTCAGAACATGTTCATCATTCTGAAAAGAGATCCCTTTCCAGAAGCAGTCACTCCTATTTCTGGCCCACCAGCCAGCCCTAGGGAACCCCTAATCTATTTTCTCTTTCCATATATTTGCCTGTTTTGGGCTGTGCATATCAGTGGAGTCCTACAATTTGTGGCCTTTTGGGTCTGGCTGCCTTTACTTAGGATAATGTTTTCAGAGTTCATTCATACAGTAGCATGCATCAGTACTTTTTATTACCAAATAGTATTTTGTTGCATGGATACAATATATTGTATTTACTCTTTCATCAGTAGGTAGACATTTGGCTTATTCCTACTTTTTTCTATTATGAGTAATATTACTGAGAACATTCATGCCCAGATTTTCATGCAGATACCAGTTTTAATTTCTCTGGGTTTGGAGTATAATTGCTGGGTCATTTGGTAACTCTGTATATTAGTAGTACAAGATAATGAGAGTTGTTATGGTATATTAGTATATGCATATAACATTTTTGTGATTTTCATGTCCATGACCTCTCTCCTCTTCCTTCCCCTTGCCCTAATCCCCTTCCTTGTCTCTAGAAGGCTACCTTTTACTTTCCTGTCCTCTCTCTTCTTATTTTTTATGTATTTTAATATTGCTTATCAAATAAGAAGAAGGCTGTGATTTTTAACTTTCTGAAACTGGTTTGTTTGAACTCCAGTTCTATCCATTTTCCTACAGGTGAGGTGAGGTGAGGTGATCTCGTTCTTCTTTATGGCTGAGTGTTATTCCATTGTGTATACACTATATACTACATTTTCTTCATCCATTCATCTTTTGATGAGCATCTAGGCTGTTTCCACAGCTTAACTATTGTGAGTTGTGCCACTGTGAAATGGGTATTTCAAGTATCTCTATAGTAGGCTGTCTTTAATTCCTTTGGGAATAGACCAAGGAGTGGCACAGGTGGATCAAATGCTGTGTATGCCTATTTTTAGCTTTTTAAACTTTTTATCTTAAAGAGAAAAAAACAATAAAATGATATAGAATTTCAAAACAAGGTCATAGGAAATTAACAATGGTATTATGGTGCATATTATTACCTTCAAAGTAGTTGCTCAGATTACCAGATACATGCATGAAAAATTGATCAAACAGTGTAAGCATTAACTGTTCCTTTCAATGAACTAATAGAAATTAATAACAGTTACCTTAGCTATCCTGTGTATATATAAATATCCTTTTCCTCACTTCCTTCTTTTCTCTTTTCCCCCATCCCAGTTGTTCTTTCCTTTTGAGCAGTTTCTTTCCTTTTCACTGTATATATTGATCTTGAGGATTCTCTATATTTTCCATAATGGTTGTACTAGTTCGTATCCTGCCAACGGTACAGAAGGGTTTCTTTTCCCCACATCCTCACCAACATTCTTTTTTTAAAAAAATTTTTTTTCATTCTTGATGATAGCCATTCTGACTATGATGAGATGGAATCTCAGTGTACTTTGATTTGCATTTCCCTAGTGACTAAGACATATTTGTTCATATATTTATTGGCCGTTTGAACTTCTTCTTTTGAGAAGTGTCTGCTCGGTTCATATGGCAATTTATTGATTGGGCTCTTTGGATTTTTAGTGTTATGCTTTTTGAGTTCTTTATATATTCTAGACATTAATTATCTATTGGAAGAATAGCTAGCAAGGATTTTCTCCCATTCTGTAGGTTGTCTCTTCACCCTGTTGGTTGTTTCTTTTTTGTGCAGAAGTTTCTTAATTTGTTGTAGTTAAGGTGACTTTTTATATTATTTCCTGAGCTGTTTGGGTCCTATCTAGAAAGTCTTTGCTAGTGCCTGTGGAGTCAAGTGTTTCCCCTATGTTTTCTTCCAGCAGTTTCAAAGCTTTAGGTTTCATATCTGTGTCTTTGATTTGTTTTGATCTGAGTTGGTAGTTGGTGAGAGAGAAGGACCTCCTTGCACTTTTCTCCTTCTGGGTACTCGCCTTTCCTAACATCACATGTTAAAGAGACTGTCTTTCCTCAAGCATATGTTTTTGGCCCCTTTTTCAAAAATCAAAATGGGTGTAGTTGCATGGGGTTGTTTCTGTGTCTTCCTTTCTACTCCACTAGTCTACATGCCTATTTCTGTGCCAGCCCCATGCTGTTCTTTGTTTAACTTTTTAAGGAACTGTCACACTGTTTTCCAGAATGGCTGATGCATTTTACATTTCTGCCAGCAGTAGACGAAGGTGCCCGAATTGTCCGTATCTTCCTCAGCACTTTTTATGTCTATGTTTTATCTATCCTAGTAAATGTGTTGTGGCATCTCATTGTGGATTTATCTAATGCCTAATGATGTCAATCAATTCAATTTTGAGTTCATGTTCTGAAATGAGCATTTATAGTGATTAAACATGGCATTCCATTTCAGTATTTTAATCTTTAATGATTTTTTACTAAAATAGTAAATGGCATATAGGGTGATAACATCATATTTAGCAAATAGACTTTATTTGCAGCTAACCTTAAAAAATTGGAGGGATCAAGGGATGGAGGGAGGGAGAAGGAAAGGGGAGGGAAAGGGGATGAAGAAAGAATTAAGATGTGTTATGTACGTTTACTAACTCCCCACATTGAATGTAATCATGGTGTGCTGCAAACATGTACTAATGAGAAATGAAAACTGGAAAAAAACTCTGATTTGGCTATATGAAAGTAAAATCTAAATGAAAACTTTAGAGGTTATTTCACAGAACAAAATTCCCGTAGGATAATAAAGCATACTTACTGTTATCAAGCATAGAGCAAAGAGACAAATTTGCATCTCTTGTTGGTATTTTTGTTCGGCTTGGTTTTCACTGGGGAATATCTAAACTCACCCAATTCTTGCAGCATGAATAAAATAGCATCCACATCTGGAACCCAGACCACATGCAACAGCCACACAGGCTTTGACCATTCTTTGTTTTGAAATAAGGAAACAGAAAACATAATGTGTTCTTAACAAAAGAATCCACAGTCACAATAAAATGAAAAGAACGAACAGGGTGATTTTATTTTTGGTTGGTGTACAGAACTGTTAAACAAAACTAGAAATCACAGTTTAAACAGTGGCTTACATCCAGCCCTTTTCCATTGGTTTGGACTTTTTGGCTTTTGTTTTTGCTTTTTTCTTTAAATGAAAGGACACAGTCTGTGCATCTGGAAAAAATACAGGATCTAATATTACATAATGCATCTTCAGTTATAGCCCAAATGTTGCATTTCAGACCAATAAAATGTAAACCAGTCCAGCAAATAAAATATAAAAAGGAGAAGTCCGATGTCATTTCTAACATTTTTTCCTGCCAGCTGGCTCTGGAATCATGGAATGAAAAAAAGGAAGGAAGGAAGGAAGGGAGGAAAAGAAAGAAAGAGAGAGAGAGAAAGAGAAAGAAAAGGAAGGGAGAACAGAAAAATGAGAAAAACCCCTGTCCTTATCCACCTAGCTTAGGAAGCCTATCTTTTGGAACTGTGAAAGTAACATGATCCTGAGTGCAAAACAGAAGGACAGCATCTGTAAACCCCATGTATTAATTCTTTATCTGAGGGCCGGACCTGCCAGCTCAGGGGTTAAGTAGGGAAAGATAGTACAGCACAACCACACATAAAAATGTGAGGGGCAGTCTATTTTTTTATTTACAAAAAATAAAGCTTTAAAACTGAAAAGGAAGTGGACTATTTATGAGGGAATATCGTCTTTATTTAAAAACCCGTTCCTTTTTTCTTCAAGGCATTCAGAATTGTAAAAGTGAGCTATGGGTTTGCAGATTTTTAGGTTAGAAATAAATAAGAACTTACTAACAGATTCATTAGCCACATAAAGTGTCTTCAAAATAAAGTTGTAAGAGTTGTTTGTTTTGATTCAGATAACATCTGGAAACAAATAGCAACATAATAACTTTCTAAGAAGTTTTCTGGCTCTGGAGTTCTGTAACCTTTTTTGTGTAACAGTATGGACAACCTGAAAACTGTGCTTACTGACGTTTTCTATCCACAGTGGTTTTATGCTTAAATGTAAGGAAATACAAGATAAAAGCTATTTTTTTAGTTTGCACAAAATTTTTATGCTGTTAGTTTGCACAGATGCTTACTAAAATACACTTCCATACTAAATTATAATTACAAGGCGATCTCTGTGTTTTTAGGGATTGATAGCACTTTCCAAACACAAGAAACTGAAGGAACTTTCTTTATCTGAGTGCGGCAACATCACCGACGCGGGAATTGAGGTAAGATCGTTAAGGTCTTCTGTGAGTGACTTAAGATTGAATATTAAGCACAAATTGAACAGCCCTGTAGGTCACGGTAGAAAAAAGCAGTAGGTGTTGTGACAAACAGATACGAGGTTGTGGTTAAGCCGGGATCTCAGGTCTCCATGGCCTGACGTGACCACAAGGATTTGTTTTCCCACTTTTCCTCAATCTCCTCCTCTCTTCACATCAGACTCGGGGTGAACAGGGACATTTTACTTGGGAAGTGATGAACTTCTGTGTGGTGACAGCTGGCCTTCTCATGTAAGGACAGTGTTCTGTAGTATCAAAATGTCATGCAATCTGACCACGAAAACTGAGGGAGTTTGGAAAATTAAACCAGAGACCTAACAATGTGGAGCTTAAGTTATGCAAACGTACTTGGTAACACACTGTATTGGAGCAGACAGCATGAAATGAATACCTGGGCAGGATACGTGATTATATGCTCAAGTGACTCTTCAGACATTCACGGGAGGGCTGGGGCTGTCGAGCAGTGCTGGGTTCCATCCCGGTACCTGTTCTAGGCCTGGGCGGTGCGCATGAAGTCAGAGCAGAGGCACTGGGAGCCGCTGTGTAATTTTTCCAGCAAATGAAGCATCACCAAGTAACACAGCAGGCATACACTGAATGGGGAAGGAGCCACTCGCCTGGGTATGGAGAAACTGTTGAGCACATTGGAAGAAGCTCCAGACAAAAGTGTTTTGAGTTTAAACCCTGAGGCCAAACTAGGAAGCAAGGGAGGAGAGGCGGAAAAAACTTTCTTACTGAGATAGAGGATTAATCCCAAAAGTGGAAAGATAATGCAGGTGGTAGCTGAGAGGTCCACAGAGCATGGCCAATTTTAAGTTGTCCTCCACAGAAGTGGACTTCACAAGAAATTTTAATGTGACTCATAAAGAGTGTTCAAATACCCTACAAACTGGTGAGCTTCTGAAGGCTTTGGGTTAGATTATGCTATAGAGTTCTTGGCTTCTGAACCGGGAGTGACGGCACACTGTAATCCCAGCACTCGGGAGGCTGAGGCAGGAGGATTGTTGTGAGTTCAAGGCCAGCCTGAACTGCATAGCGAGACCCTGTCTCAAAAAACTAAAAAAATGTCTAAGCTTCTAGAGCTGAGAGGAACCTGAAAACATTTAAATCCTAATTTTACAGAGGAGAAAACTAAAGGCCAAGAAGGCCTAAGTGATTGCTCTAAAGTCTTTTTCATTCTCATAATTTTAAGTACAGTTTTATGGAAATGAAAACTTGCTATCTCAAATAATCTATTGACAGCATGGCTTAATGAGAAGAAACGCTGATGAATTGTTTTTGCTGTGTCTCACTGTGACTGAACAATGTAGTAACCCTTAAGGCGGAAGGGGAACACTATTAAGAAATCATCTTTAAAAGGCATCAGTATCAAGCAATTTCATTTAGCCTCAGTTTCAAGCCAGGGGTGTTAAGGTTTTAACAAGTCCCTCAGGAATCTTCCTATAATTAATTTAATTGCATAAAAACTTAAAAAAGAACAAGCACTCTCCTTCAAAATAAAGTCCTGGAGGGGAATAGAAACTTCTGCCTTGGACATGATTGGAGCAAAATATTTATAAGCTTGTAACCTATTAGGAGAAATAGCCAAAAGACTCCTCTAAGCTTAAACTGTTATTTACCTCTTACAGTTAATTTAAGCATTAAATATGCATCCACACAAAACCTTACCTGTCAATATGGTTAGTCAGGCTTTCAAGAGGTCTTTGGCAGGTGATAGGCCAATAATTATTAAAATAAAACTGTTGAACATCATTACCAATGGGTCCTACAGAGACACCAGTGTTCTATGCTGTTTTACCATCAAAAATGTTCTGCTTTTTACCTGGCGGTCCTTGGCTCTAAACTGGCCCACACCTATCCGGGAAACTGAATCCTAGCAAACAACCAGAAAACCAGGCTGTGGAGAACTGAGGTGTTGCCTTCCTCTCCACTCATTTTCTTTTCTTCCTTTCCTTTCCTTCCCTTCCTTTTTTCTTTTCTTTCCCTTCATTTTCTTTTGTGGAGTTCTGGGGACTGAACCCGTACTAGACAAGTGCTCTACCATTGAGCTACATGCCCAGCCTGCTTTTTCTTCTTTATAATTGACACATAATATTGTACATGCTGGGTGTGGTGGCACATGCCTGTAATCCCAGCACTCAGGAGGCTGAGGCAAGAGGATAGCTGCTAGTTCGAGACCAGCCTGGGCTACAAGTGAGCTCAAGGCCAGCCTGAACTGTATAGCAAGACCTTGTCTCAAAAAGACAAAAAAAAAAAATTGTACAAATTTATGAGGTACAGTAGAATAATGCAATACATATATACAATATGTGCCCATCCGCCTAACAACCTGCCTATCCATCCTTTCTCTATTTATCCACCTATGCATCTATCTATCTACTCATTTATCAGTCCAGCTTTCTACCCAATCACCTATTCATCTATCCATCAGTTCACCTACCCATGCACCTGTTCATCTCTTCATCCTTTACCCATCCAATTACCTGTTTATCTATCACAGACCAGGGATGACATTACCATACCATGTACAAAAGAACACACAACAAAGAATGAGTCAACTCAAATGCAAATAATACCGAGGTTGAAAACCTGGGTTCTACAACATGATTCTGTTCCTTGAGAGAACAGATCATGTTTTATTTGCGTTTGTAGCTCTAGTTATAAGTAGAGTTGTGTGTTCCATAAACGTTGATGAATAGAGGTGAATAAAGTAAAAGTTAAAGTACTAACATTTCTCGCCAGGCATGGTGGTGAATGCCTGTAATCTCAGCTTTGGGGAAACTGAGGCAGGAGGATTGCTATGACTTCAAGACAGACTGGGCTACATAGTGAGTTCAAGCCCAGCTTAAATTATGTAGCAAGATCTTTGAAAAGTTTCTAATATTTTACTATATTTCCTGTATGGTGATCAATTACATTTGAGCAATAAACTATAAATCATCCAGAATAATTGAAAACTACCATGATGATGACATAAGCTCTTTCTTTTTCTTTTTTTCGGTAACGGGAATTGAACTCACAACCTTGCGCTTGCCAGGCAGGCACTGTGCCGCTTAGCTAAATCCCCAGCCCCAACATAGGCTCTTAATAGCTATCATTTGTTCATTTTTTAAATGCTCCTTAGAGTGATAGCATATTTACCACAGTCTGAGGCTTAGAACAATCAGGGTATCAATGCTTTCTGCCATTTCTTTTTGATTTTCTGGGTTATGAACATTTTTCTTTTCACTCTTTGGAGCTTAAAATTGTACTCTTCCATAAGGTGCTCTGGGATTTTAGATGAAAACATTTACCCAAATGTTAACTAGGTCATATGCAGCTCAATTCTGGCGTATTTTTTTTAAAAAACTGTGTGTTTCTTCTCTGTAAAAGAGAATCTTATCTGTGCTGTGTACCCTGAGTAACTACTTTAAGGACAATGATACACCGTGTATTAACCATTGTTATTTGCTTATTATTTTGTTATGAGATTTTGTTATTTTTATACAGTGAAAAAGAATAAAAAATTTCTTTTAAGAATTGATGTTCATTTAATTTCAATGATAATGAAAGAAGATAATTTTGAAAAAATAATTTTTATACAAGAGCATGAAGTACAGGAACATGGAACTGCAGGATTAATAGTTGTACAGTATCAGCGGTGCCAGTTCATGAAAAAGAAAACTTTCTTTCTCATCAGCTCGTCTCTTCTCCTCCAGACTTTTGTAGTGATGTGTGTGTGTGTGTGTGTGTGTGTGTGTGTGTGTGTTTCTGTCTTTTAAGCAGTCCTACCTTTCTAAGGCTCACACTTTGGGAGCCAATAGCGAGCTTTTTCCTCCTCACCTCTTTAAGCCCAATTAAGGCACAAAAGGGAACAGACAAAGAAGGGGAGAAGAGTTATGCAGGAGCCCATGTCACCATTTCTTTCTGTGGGTTTGCAAATGAAAGGGGGAGAGGTGCTACATGGATTAAACGGAGATGTTTAGGTTGTCTATGGTTCCTCAAGAATTCTCTGTCGGTACTCAATAAAAAACAACAGAAGAGGAGATTCTCCTTTTAGCATGAGGATGACGATTTATTGTACATTCAATGCATTTAATAAGAAATGAAATTTTTCTTTTTTTTTCCCCCTGTTAGGTTTTGCAAGAGCTATAAACATAATAATGAAAAATTACCTCACTTTATTATTTTACTGGAAGCCACGGTATGTGCAGTTTGTTTGCTGGAGTTCAAAGTATTGACTTGACTTTTAGGATCTGGCTTTAATTACTTGCTCTGGCTTTCATTTTTTTCTGAGAATATTAGATGTTCAGTGACTATGTTCAGTTAAAATTATTTGGTGCTCTTAAAAGGCATTTTGGAAGAAGTTTTGAAATAGTCAGAATTGAGCATTTCTTAGGAAACATTTTTCTTGCGCAGTTAGTGAAATAAAATAACTGAATGACAGATTTGACAAAGGAATTGGTTTAAATGTGGAGTGTTACAATACAGGGCAATTGTTTACCTTGTTTTGTTAGAACTGATATAATAAAGCCGGTTTTTTTACTCTGGTTACGTTTTGTACTCATTTAATCTAGTTGGCATTTTCATTTCTTTTTTGAAAATGAAGTATGCTAGGAATACATTAATGTAATATCCATGCACACCAAGGTGCATACTTTTTAAAGGCAATTAACTTGTGAGTGTAATCTTACAATTAGACAACACTTTCTGATTATATCAGTGTTACTAGGTTTAGGTAGTTAAGAAGGTGCATTGGGAGGGGAAATTCAGGCTTCATTATAACTACCAAATAAAGTAACACTTGCGTATGCAGTGAGACATGTATTTACGTATGTTTATATGTAACTGTATATAAATGTGTATCTATGTACATTATATGTAAGTTAAATGTTTACAAACTTCAGCATGCGTTAGATTACATGTAACCACATATGAAAATATATGCCTATGTTTCTAATACATGT